TCGGCATCAGACGCTGGCTGACGCCCTCTCTCTCTCTCTCTCTCTCTCTCTCTCTCTCTCTCTCTCTCTCACGAGAATGAATCTTCCTCTTTATCGAGGAAGATTCATTCTCGTTGGGCATGTCTCGTTTCGTTTTGTTTTTTTTGTTTTTTTTTTGCAGAATGTTTTTTTTGCAGATTTTTTTTTTTTTTTTTTTTTTTTTTTTTCCGTTGTGTCCTACCGGCTGTCCGAGGCTCGGCAATAAAGACCGAGGCTCGGGAATGACTGGGCTACCGGTAGCCTGAGCCACGGGCCTTGACATCCGGTAGGTACTGGTGGTTTAAATGGTTGGTGGCTATGTCGGAGTCTGCACATTCGGGTCCAACAGGTAAGTCCAGATTCCTACAAATGCAACTATTTTTACTTTAGTCCACAAACAGAGAGCAGATCTACCTAATGTTGTCTGTCGGATGTCAATGGCAGTCCATCTAACTAATCAAGAATAAAAATAGAATTGTTTGTGTGGATATTTGCAGAGTGGAATTAAACACGAACTTATCACCTGGAATCCACCCCTCCCTCAGTTCTTCTTGATGGTCTCTTGATGTCAGCAACCCTGAGCAATCCAGAACAGCGTGTATGTCTAAAGGTGAGCACACGGCCCGCCCCTGTGCCCCGAGTCTATGCTGAGCTGGCCAGTCCTGCACAACGTTTACCCTCGCATGCAGCGAGCCTTACACTGACCGATTGGCTGATCAGGAGGCGTTTAAGGACGGCCCCCGAAGTCCTCAGGAATTATTTAACGTCGCAGACAAGACGACGATCACAACCAATGGAAGGTAACCCCGCTGGTGCTCATTTATAGACGCCCGATACTCGTCTCCCCTGTAGGGCTGGCCTGCCCCTCGTAACCCATCTATCAGCGCAGCAAGCAGACAAAGGACGAAGGAGCAAAGCATGCGTGCTCTACTCCCGGTGGGTTGGCATCGTGACCGTGACCCAATGCTTCGTCCAGGGCCCTTCAGATAGCTCCGCCCTCTCCTTCCAGATGCTCCATGTGAGCAATGCCGACTCTCACGGTTGAGTGCATGCGACTCCTCGCATGAGAGGACTCTCAAGACAGAACATGCATCCTCACGGTAAGAAGTGTCGACGAGGGTAGATAAGGTTAGGTGCAACGTACCTCAAAATAGCTGCCCCCAACCACAGATATTCTCACCAGATGACCTGATGCCAATTGTGATGACCAATCGCTGCTTCGGCACAAGCAGCATTACACCGCCGTTCCACCTCAGCATCAATCACACATCAGATAGTTCTCACCACTGCGAACACCCATCATTCACCACGTAACCTTCCTGGCGATACCCCTCGCTTCCTGGGTCACCCTGCTTGCCTTCGCCCTCCTCACTACACACTCAGTACAGCCGCTCGCCCAGCAGACCACATGCATGTACCATAGGCAGAAGACAAGCGCCAGATTAGCGCACCGTACCACAACTCCGATACCAAATTGCAAGGAAAATGAGCGATAGCGAACTTCAGAAACCACATGAGACCAGATAGTCGTGGCCTCGAACCAAAAGTAGCATTGCAACTTGAGCCCCACCAAAGAAGAGCACAGCAAAAGCTCATAAGTGACAATGTTCAAATAGTCTCATCATCATCAACAAAGAACCAATGTCGACATCCTATCTGGCGCTCTGCGCCCAGACTACAAATGGCAGGTCCTATCTAGCCTATCTACAATGCCGCTGGTAATGTCAACAGCTCCCCGAAGTACAAGCAGATCTCGGCCAATGCCGTTCACCTCAAGCACCAGGTATATCTCTCGTATCACTCACAACCTCGATCCCCCACTCACAGACGCTACATGCACCCAAGGACCACCATGCGCCCCATCCAGCATACAGCAGCGCAGCTCGGCTATGGCTGCCTGCTCATCCAGCTCGCCCGTGAGCGCGTGAGCGCTGGACAGCGTATAGCGCAGCAGCGCTTGTGCAGCATGCAGCCAGTGCCCGAATGAGGAATGCGGGGGCAGGCACTTTCCTAAATGGAAGTGGCCTGCCTGCTGCGTGCGACCTGGCTGCACCGGGCCCCGGCCCAGAAGCTTCCGGTAGGCCCCAGGTGGCTGAGCCCCAGTCTGAACCAATCAGGCCCAGGGCCTGTGACAGTTACCCGTGCCCAACAGCCCGCAGCCTGTGTTGGGTCCTTGTTGCGTATCTCGCCCAGGGCCTGACTCAGATGCATTTGATAAAAGTAGCCAGGGCCTGGGTGTTTTCAACCAACTGGCGCTGCGCAACTGCCTGAATTTCCTCAGTAGCGTGGATACCCTAAAATAGGCCTTCGTCGGGCCTGCCTTCACTTAGGGCGGCCGACTGTACTGAAAAGAGGGCCCTGTAGGGCTTATCGACGCCTTGTGCCTCGCAATTTCCTTTAGAATAAATAAATAAATAAACTCAAAAAATTCTCAGAAAATAACAAACTCGAAATAACAAATGAATTAAGCACAAAAAAGCATAGACATGCAGATCAAGAGGTCGTGATGATGGCACCTCGTCATCAATTTTGTCACGTAGCAATTACCCCTTTCTGAGTCCTACGAGTTCGTTGGCGGCGTGATATCGAATCGCCACAGTGCCCTCCTGGTGATATTGAATCACCCCCAACCTGCCCATCAACCACAGTCCCTGCTGATGCCTTCCCCGAACCGTCAATATATAAGGTAGCCAAAGTGAGCACAATGACATCGAACATTGAAGACCAGTGTGCAAAGGCAGGTTAAACCGCCAGTACACAGCCCCAGCCTTGCTAAAAGGAACTTGTCGCCCGGTCCGGAAAGCTCGGGGCCGGAGCGGTGTCGATAAAAAACATCAGCCGTCGGCATCACGTTTCCACCTCCAAAAGCGGCCGGTGGCCGATGCACGACGTTTTCTGGTCGTTTAACAGTCATGATGGGAGACAGCATGGAACGAGAAACACTTGCGTGCTTGGCATGGAGCAAAGGATGCCGCTTAACAGGCGGTGCACAAGGAGGACACTCGACGGTGCACAGCGGGCCTGTTGAGCTGATTGCTGCAATGCAGCAAATACTCAAAAATCCATGTCAAGCTCGAACATTTCCCGAGCTGCCGAACGATTCCGTCTTACTGCGGCAGAGGGTACTTTGCTCTCAGCTTCACCTCCATAGCTTTTCTAGTTCTGGAAGCTATGGATCTTCCATAGAGATCATGCTCAAATCATGTTTGCTGTGTTTAGCATGCTAGATCTCCTACTTTTCTCTGTGTTCTCTGAAGCCGTTTCAATCCCATCTCTGTTTATTCTTATAGGGGTATGGGGTCCTCGACAGAGAAAAATACGAGCCGCATATTAATTCCTTTTCTTTTCTTTTTTTTTTTGTTGACCGTAACAGAAAAAATTGGACCATTCCTCGATTTATGTGTTATCCTTGAGCAGGGGCCATGCTAATCTTCGCGGTATCGTTCCAACTTTAACGGATATCAGTTTTTCTTGTCGACTTTCTTGGATTCGTTTTCAACTTTTCAATGTTTTCATGCTTTTAGCTGTTTTATTGATTTTGTTTCAAACGGGAAGCAGTGCAATGATTGAGGAATCTTATTGACAACGGAACTTAGCGAACATCATCAAATGTTTTGCTGTGGATAATGGATTGCCTTTTTTTTCATACTTTGCAGGCATATTCGATTGGAGAGATATAAGATTTTCGTCATACACTCTGAGGAAGGACAAGGGCAATCAGTTGTCGAAGACCCGAAGTGCTTTCTCGAAGGGAACTTAGAGCGATCATGGATTATAAGGGCAGGTAAGTAAGTATAAATGGGGTTCAAAGCGGGGGAGGGAAAGGGGTATAAATGGGGTTCAAAGCGGGGTGTAAAGGGACCTTCTGCTTACCTTCCGTGGCCTCACCCTCATCACATCCTTGTCCTGTTTGTTGAATCCGAGGGCTGTTGCAGGCAAACCATCAGTAACCAGATTAACCCAGAGCAGTTGTACCTGTACACCCCCATATCCCGCAGCAGGTTAAAAATGGGCAAATAGCACCCCCGTATCCCGCAGCCGGTAAAAGATGGGCAAATAGCACATTCAGAACGAGTCCAATCACAGCAACGTGGACATAATGCCATCCCTGGACCATCCGCTAGGCTGGTTCAAAGGGTCGGGGACATGGATTTTTCAGCACACTTGACGGTGCACAGTGAGCCTGTTGAGCTGATTGCACCCGACCAGGTTCTTTGAATAAGCAGAAGGCCGGGCTTAGCCTAGTGCCAACTGGTGTTTTCTGGCAGTCGGAAAGAGTCGGTCGAGAGGGACCATGCGACCGACAGTCAGATGCAAAGGACAGAAAACGGATAAGACCTGCAAAGTAACGACGAGGTAGGAACAGAGAAAAGAGGGGTAGAGTGGAGAGGCACATCCTTCCCGGAAACGGAAGCAAGCAATGCCACTGTCTTGGAGTCCCTTGGGCGTAGTGAAGGGAAGCCTTGTTTGGGTATCTGATGAAAGGGATGCTAGATCCGTTTTCCAATACTTTTAACAAAGAGTGATGTTTTTGTTGGGTGAAAAAAGACCGAGTGGCTGAATGTTGTACACACAACTGTTGATAAACAGGTCATCAGTTTGAAACTTTGAATGCTAGTTAAATCAGATAGATACAATTCTCATACGGGCTATCCCCTTTTACCAGAAAACAAAAACAACACTAACAAACAGCACAAATCCAGCAATGGCGACAAAGTTAACCACGATTACCTCCGAAAGTCGCTCCTGCATGCAGCCGTGACTTTCAGAGGATGAACGGGCCACGATCGGAGCGCCCAAATTCAGCCGATTCGAAACGCTTCCACTCTATTTTTTTTCCCGCGGCCGATATATGGTTAATGTACTCATGGTTTAAGCGATCGAGGACTTGGGATACCTTCCCAGGTGCCTGGAATGCCCTGGCCAGGTCCTGGGCAGTCCCGGCACAGAGTTAAAAAGTAAAAAAGAAAAAAGAAAACGGAAAATAAAAATGTTGTGTAGAATTGCGATGGCAAACTTTTGTTAGCTTGGCGTCACACATCAGATGCACAACCATTCACACATTTGCGATTTGCTTGACACAAGAAGTACACAGAATGGCTACAGTAAAATCGGGTTACTAGTACAGAGGGGAAAATAGGGATGGCACCGACTATGAAGGCGATACAGCTAGGAAATCAGTAGGCTAACAGGCGGCTTGAGGAACTACAAGAGACCCACCCCTCGTGCCTGGCCTCTCTGGGTTTTGACCTGCTGCGTGACTGGGAGCTGCTAGTAAGCTTCCTGGCCTGCAGGCCAACCCCCTATGAAAGGCCAAGGCTTGGGGGATCGGACGTTATGTAGTAGTTCCCCCCTTGATAGGCAGGCGTCCAGTACCACTAGGGTTGGGCCGCTGCTTTCCTCTTGTCTATCCTCCCCCTTTACTTTGATGGATGTAAAAAGCTTGCTTGCCGGTGACAAGCAACCGGACTGATGTCCCCCAGAATACAAGGGGCTTTGTTGTTGTTAAAAAAAACAAGTGGACCGAGGAGAGAGGGACGAACAGGGGGGCGGGGCTGTTGTTGTCACACTGCTTGGGCAACATGGAAATACAGACTGTCACTTTTTTTTCCTTTTTTTTTGTGTGGTGTCATTTTCGCTATACAGTCAAAAAAAAACATGACTGTGGCATTCGGTTTCGTTGGACTTCCACTGACTGATTGGGAGGTTGTGTGTGTGTGTGTGAGAGAGAGAGAGAGAGACTCTCTCTCTCTCTCTCTCTCTCTCTCTCTCTCTCTCTCTCTCTCTCTCTCTCTCTCTCTCTCTCTCTCTCTCTCTCTCTAGATCGCGTGATCCGATGCGCGTCGTGATCCTCCTTCATCCCGGCCTCGTTTGGGCTGGTTTTGGTATTGATTCAATTGTCGCGATCCTCCTTCATCCCGACGAAGTTTGTGCTCCTCTTGGTGTTGATTCCATTGTCATCCCGAGCCGTGCTCTCTCTCTCTCTCTCTCTCTCTCTCTCTCTCTCTCTCTCTCTCTCTCTCTCTGTGATGCGCATCAGATTGCGCGGTCGATCGGTGGGTCGATGGATCGAGAGAGCCTCCGTTCTCTCTCTGTCACTTCTTCTTTTTTTTTTGTAGAGTGTTTCGTTGGACTTTCACTGACTGATCAGGAGGTTGTGTGTGTGTGTGAGATTCTCTCTCTCTCTCTCTCTCTCACACACACACACACACACACACACACACTCACACACACACACACATCCACACTTTCTGCAGCGACTTAGCTTCTATGCGAAATTTTAACTCGTAAGATTGCCAAGCATTGGGTAACACTTCGTTGACGGGTAAGGTAGAAAGAATCGAATATGATCCAAATCGTTCCTCTTGGATTGCCCTAGTACGCTGGTACTCTGGATCTACCCAACCCCAACATCAAACAGCATCTACAAGATTTACATAGTTATCAAATTTGGTGTTTTATTATTCCTAGTTGTTACAAAACACAAAGGGTCCAATGGACAAAATTGTTCTATTTGAGTGTAATTTCTTTCTTGTTGTTTTTTTTCCTTATTTATTATTGGGTAGTTCCCATTATTTGGAACTTGTTGTAAACTCTTTTGTTTGTCTAAACAAGTATACGTTTTTTTTGCTACTTGGCCATCTGGCGTGTAAACTTTGTGCCAGTCTTGTCTGAAGTGCACGCACCTTACCATAATTCTTTGAAAGCGAGGCCTTGTAAATCCTGGTCTGGAATCTGAAGACAAAACTCTCGACTGAAGTCCAAGGAATTTTGCCCCAGTAATCCGTTTGAACGTTTAAATACATTCTACTCATATTTCAATTCACAAGTATTACATAAATCCTAAGTCTCCAATTAAGTGGGGCTTATTAGAGAATCCTCTTCCTATCCAACGTATACATAGCTCTTGGCTAGCCTACCTCTTTCTCTGGTGTCGTCTCTATCAAGCACGTGCGCAGAAAACTCTCTCTCTCTCTCTCTCTCTCTCTCTCTCTCTCTCTCTCTCTCTCTCTCTCTCTCTCTCTCTCTCTCTCTCTCT